GAATGAGGTGATTTGGTAAAATGCTATGCCCAAGATTACTATCCGAGTGCCGGCGGTGGGGTGGTTCAAATAGCCTCGGCTATCACCTCATTATGTCCGGTCGTGATGGTTAAGTGGATTAAGGCGTCTTGTACATACCAGTTGCGTGGCATCTGGGAGTATGGGTTCGAGTCACTTCTGGGGTGTGAGTTTTCAGTTGCATATTGTCCTGGGGACCATTCAGGCTTGTTCGCATTTGTGTTCCTCACGTGTGCCCCAAAGAATGAGGTGATTTGGTAAAATGCTATGCCCAAGATTACTATCCGAGTGCCGGCGGTGGGGTGGTTCAAATAGCCTCGGCTATCACCTCATTATGTCCGGTCGTGATGGTCAAGTGGATTAAGGCGTCTTGTACATACCAGTTGCGTGGCATCTGGGAGTATGGGTTCGAGTCACTTCTGGGGTGTGAGTTTTCAGTTGCATATTGTCCTGGGGACCATTCAGGCTTGTTCGCATTTGTGTTCCTCACGTGTGCCCCAAAGAATGAGGTGATTTGGTAAAATGCTATGCCCAAGATTACTATCCGAGTGCCGGCGGTGGGGTGGTTCAAATAGCCTCGGCTATCACCTCATTATGTCCGGTCGTGATGGTCAAGTGGATTAAGGCGTCTTGTACATACCAGTTGCGTGGCATCTGGGAGTATGGGTTCGAGTCACTTCTGGGGTGTGAGTTTTCAGTTGCATATTGTCCTGGGGACCATTCAGGCTTGTTCGCATTTGTGTTCCTCACGTGTGCCCCAAAGAATGAGGTGATTTGGTAAAATGCTATGCCCAAGATTACTATCCGAGTGCCGGCGGTGGGGTGGTTCAAATAGCCTCGGCTATCACCTCATTATGTCCGGTCGTGATGGTCAAGTGGATTAAGGCGTCTTGTACATACCAGTTGCGTGGCATCTGGGAGTATGGGTTCGAGTCACTTCTGGGGTGTGAGTTTTCAGTTATATATATATATATATATGTGTGTGTGTGTGTGTGTGCGTGTGTGTGTGTGTGTGTGTGTGTGTGTGTGTGTGTGTGTGTGTGTGTGTGTGTGTGTGTGTGTGTGTGTGAGATAGGCATAACCTGTGAAAAATTCGTCTCATCCTCTAAAAGTATAGTATTAATACTATGTGAGTATGTGTCGCACCTGATGTGTCTCACCCACTGGTACACCTGATGTGTCTCACCCACTGGTACACCTGATGTGTCTCACCCACTAGTGCACCTGATGTGTCTCACCCACTAGTGCACCTGATGTGTCTCACCCACTGGTACACCTGATGTGTCTCACCCACTGGTACACCTGATGTGTCTCACCCACTGGTGCACCTGATGTGTCTCACCCACTGGTACACCTGATGTGTCTCACCCACTGGTACACCTGATGTGTCTCACCCACTAGTGCACCTGATGTGTCTCACCCACTAGTGCACCTGATGTGTCTCACCCACTGGTACACCTGATGTGTCTCACCCACTGGTACACCTGATGTGTCTCACCCACTGGTGCACCTGATGTGTCTCACCCACTGGTGCCCCTGATGTGTCTTTCCCACTGTTACACCTGATGTGTCTCACCCACTGGTACACCTGATGTGTACCACTTACATCAAGGAGAACACACTATGCTCTTTTGGGGATCCTTTGATTTGGGATTTGTCCATCCCAAGTCTTAATCCTGATTCCTGGCAAGTGCTGTGTTGTGGTAATGGCTTGGCGCTTTCCCCTGATACGTTCCCCTTGACAACTTTTCCTTGTCAAAGGACCTGTAAAAAAAATTGGTGTTGCCTTTAGGTTGCAGCCTTGTGGCAGTTAGCGTCACTATCGTAGTGGGAAGTGTTTGTGTTGAGTCGCAGTCTTTGCAACGGTACAGTTATCCTGTGCTATCGTAGTGTTCAATGGTTATCTGCAGTGAAATATGTGAATTTTTGTTTTGTTTTAGGAGTTAATTGTATGTTAAGATTGTGAGTTACTAGATCATTAACAGCATGGTGTTATGTGAAGTTTTTCATCAAGTGCTGGTTTTAAGGAGGGATTGCTTGGAGTTTCCAGAAACTGTATTTCACGTTGAAATATTAGTAACGAGGCATGTGTCTCCAACTAACATGTTTAACAACAACCTTCCCCAAGTTGACGAGGACTTTAACTCGACCGAGTCGTCATACGTAGTCATATACGCTTTAACTGAACTGCCGGGCTGCACCTAACCCATCAGGGCTTTAAGGTTTCTCAGCTTGATCAAGAGCCTAACAAGCCTGATTTTAAGCTTCACCCACCCCAGGAACTGAACCGTTTAGGCACGACTTAGTCTTACATTGTGTGTCCAAGAGTGTGTCAAGCCTAATTAAGCTCGATTTGGCCATGAGCTTTTGAGCTTTAGTAGATAGCTGCCCTCTTGGCCTGTGATACCTGGCCAAGAAGGCTTACCTCTCCTGACGCCTATGAACCCCGTAACCGTCCCTGAGCCTAACACGCCGCGGACAC